AACAATAAAGCGTCGTATCGATCGTCTAGAGATGCGCCTCCTAAACATGGCGAACTGCCATGTTTCAAACTATAAAAACGCAGTCCACGTCGTACGCGGTGACCTCGTTTTGACGCGGAGGTCACGGGGCTCTTGACCGTCTTTCAACAGAATCGAATAGCTCGCAGGACTTGAGCTATCAATGTTTTGCAATGGCACGAATGTGATAACGCCTTCAAGGGCTATATGAATACCTTCTGAGCACACTCGGTCATTCTACATGGAGCGCACTGGCAGGGGGAGCACAGTCGAGGGGGGAGGGGGATGTGGAAGGAGAACCAATTGCCAACAGACCTAAGGTGCAGACAGACATGGCGATATCACCTTAACGACATGTTATGATTGTGATGATGAACTATGCTAGTTGTATTGTAAACACAATTTTGTGCATACGCGTCACCTACACAAGGTGTTGATGTCACAAGTGGAAGTTAGCGCAGCAAAAGGCGTGAAGTTCATACACTAAAAGCAAGGTCTGGGTGGTTGCCGGGGACTAAAATAGTGACATAAATGGCGTGAACCAAAATTCGGGAAATGTTCGGTTCTCCTAATAGGTCAGGTGACCATTGTCGCCAATCCGGTACAAAGCGTCATAGGTCGAAGAATCTGTTGAATCCAACTGCTTCGATCGTCAGTGCCGTCTAGACCGAAATTTACATTGCTCCAGTTTAATGAATATTGTAGGATTAGGCAGAATTTCCTAAAAGTGGCTCTTCAGTTTGGATGTTTTCATTGTTCGCCTTCAATCGGCTGTGGAGAACCATCTGAATGAAACCATCAAAGAACATTTAGTGGACCTTTATATCCGTCATTCATACCAACGGGAGGTTCGGTAGTACGCACAGGTTCTCATAGGACCGATTTCATAATCAACTAACCCTAAACTCCATGCCTTCAGTCGGACATCCTACTATATATAATCGGCTAAGCGGTTGTGCGTGTGTGTGTGTGTGTGTGTTTGTCTGTCTGACCGGAAATTCATAGCTCGGGCACCAGTGGTCGTCAGGAGTTGGTTTCAAGATATGATATAGGGGGTGGGACGGGAACATATTTGGTGGGGACAGAAAGTGATAACGGCTGATAGGGGCTGATAAGGAGCGTTACAAGCAAATGTACTGAAGTTCTTATCCAGATGTGGGATAAGAAAACATCTCATTTTTTGCGATGTAGTCGTGATCCATTCGACCGCTAATCTGCCCGAGCTTCCTAAGATGGTCGGTGTCTGTGGAAATACGATAAATTGGTAATTCTATCGCATCACCGGTAAAAGAAGTTATTAGACCGCTAAACTATCCCAGTATCCAAGCATGGTAGATGTTTACGGTGAGGGGTGATAATAAGCAGCCCAAGTAATTGTATTAGTTATCCAAAGGTCATTCGGCTGCTAGACTTTGTTAGTTCTAGAAAAATGATGGATGTTTATTGGTATTGGAGCTATGAGAAATTACTGCTTTATCATCTGCTTTCCTTAATACCATCAGTCAAATCAATTGAAAGCAGTATGTTTCTCAATACAACAGCCCGGCTATACTCTGTTTCACAGAAGCCTATGTTGACATGCGCGCGATAGCGGGCGGAGCAAAACTGGTAAAGGATAAAAGTATGAAGCATTTGCCGTTGATCAATCCCTTTTTGGGATGCGGCACGCATTCTACTTCCATTTGTACATTCGTAGTGGCGTTTGAATGCGATGTGGCCTATACAATGACTTGCGGGGGCCAGCCGATGTACAAGTCAGTGTTTTTATCCTCCCAGACAAGTCTGGTACCAATTAACCGACCCCGGAGGGATGGAAGGCTTGGTTGGCCCGGGCGACTCACGACCCAGGATTTGATCCCCGGACCGCTCGCGTGGTAAGCGTGCCACTTGCCACTACACCACTTCCGCCCTGACGTCGTTTTGTGTGTATGTATGTGTGTCTCACATACAGACACACATAGATACAAAACGACACACGAAGTCAGCGGTACAGTCGATATCCGAAGGTTGGGGTAGGTGTGTCACCGGAAGTGACGTGCACTTGATAGAAGTTGCGTGGATAAGCTGCTTCCAACATACATCGCTGGATATCAGCAAAGCATGCTGGCAACAGCTTATCCACGCACTTCTATCAAGTGCACGTCACTTCCGGTGACACACCTACCCCAACTTTCGGATATCGACTGTATGTAGGTTGAAGGATTACAGGTCTTGTACATAATGGCATATGGTTAGAATGAAATCGACACTGATTTGAAACTTAGTCTTATCAGCAGTTAGTTCCCTTCCCCCTTCCCTCACATACCCTCCAGCCGCGAAAACCTCATGGCTGGACCATCAGATTAGATCTTAGCCTAGTAAATCTGAATCGCAGAATGTGCAATTGCTTGCGCAGAGAAGCTGAAGCCTGAAATGATGGAGAGCGATTTCAAAGGCATACCAATATAGAACGGAACGGCTTGCATTCATGTGACATCCCGATGAGGGACAAACGCGTTGCTCGAAGATCGTGTCGTCTCCGTGAAAACTGGGCTGCACAGCGCACATCTTTCCTGGTTGCAAATCCTGAACAAAACGAAGCTTTAAGTTTGCTATCACTCATGGCTATGTCATATTTGAAGACGAATACGTTGGTGTGTCTTACTCACAAGAAGCTGAACATTCTTCGTCGACAGTCTGCCATCAAAGCACTTCACGCTGTCTACAGAACCAACAGATATTTGAATCGATGGCGTGTAAGTGGTCTGCAGGTTCAAGTCACTATCTGTTTTAGACATAGGCACCACGACAAGCAGGATACACCATAGCATGGCAACCAGCTCGTCAAGAGAAACTATGAAAACTGAACCGTACCCAATGAACACGATCAATGCAGTATAGCTGTCGAGTGATAGTTGATAAGTGCTTTACTCACTTATGGTGTGTTCATGGTTGGCGATCGTACGTGCGATTAGGCGGTTAGACGATTTATCTACAATGGAATATATACGTATAGATTAGCGAACTGACGATTATGCGAGTAGGTGAGTAGGTTACTAGTTAGTAGTCGGTTACTCACCTAATCGCCTAATCGCCTACTCGCCTACATGCCAACTATGAGCGCTCTATTAGCCGTCTACACTGGTGACAAGGCTTCTGTCAACGAAATGGTGAGAGCGTAGCTGGGAAAGCACACACTTTGTGTCTTATTGGACTAATGGAGCGTTCATAGTTGGCGATCGTACGTGCGATTAGGCGATTAGGCGATTAGGCGATGATTCAAAATGAAAAGTATACAGATCGATTAGGCGATTAGGCGATTAGGCGAGTAGGCGATTAGGCGATGAGTAAAGGATACGTATCGATTAGGCGAGTAGGCGAGTAGGCGAGTAGGCGAGGGCGATTCAACAATCAAAATATGCGTATATAATGTTATGCAAGATTATAAACTTTTGCGGCATAACTATGAAATTTCGAATTGTTTCGACATAAGCTTAAAAACTAAGAAGGTGGGCCAATTTTCAAAGCTTCTTAGTTTCTTTGTTTGTGATCGAATAGCTTCCAAATTTCGCCATAATGATACCTATATGCTCACAAGTAATAAACAATAGCTAGAAGAAAAATTTCTCCACGGGAAAAAATTCAGGTCCGAAAGGGTTAAATGTTTACTCCTTCAAAAATGAATGTGTGAAGGTGAGTTGAAATTACGAATTAGCGGAC